ATGTTACTCTGCAAGTAATGGCAGCAGTAGTGTGAGGTGTCACTCAGCAAAGAATGATGTGGGGAAACCATATATATTTTAGGTATAGTGCTGAATCCCAGTTCTTTGGTAGCACAACACTGTATTTTATTTTCTTCAGCCAATAGTTATTGATATTTTAAATTCCTCCTGAGGCAAAGAAATCTTTTTCTGCTAAATAGTTAAATAAGCTGGATAAAAATAGAACCTAAACTTTGTTTGGAGCGGCATTTGAGTCCAAAGGCACCACAGCAATTGTTTGGAATATACTGTATTTCATGCAAGTATGATGGCAATCGTTAAATATAGGGTCTCTTCTTTGCATAGATGAATAATTTTGCATTTATAAAAGACATTGGGTTGGGGTTTTTTTAAATATCAGAACTTTATATGTACCAGGTTCTCAATTTGTCTAGGTATAAGCAAGGTATAAAACACTTGGTTTTTATTAAGTGTTGTAACTTGCAGCTATGAGGACTAGTTCTGTTTTGTAATACACGTTATTTCATACCTTCTAAACTTGTCTTTACATAATTAATAACTGGAGTAGACACAAAGAATCTTACCTGGGCTTGATTAGATACATTAACCTGGTGAAGCTGCTAGGGATACAAACTTAAAACACGTTTCCTTTCGGGGAAAAAAACCTGTTCTTGCAGATGCAGTGTTGGGAGGTGACAGCCAGCACTCCTTGCCTTACTTAATGATTTTAGCCTCAGGCTGCCGTGCATGATAATAACCGGGATTGGCCCTTGTTCTTACTCGTGCCCGATGGCAGCATACACTTTATCAATGCATGGTCTGTGTGAGAGGGGATCGCTTGTTATTTTATTACCTCCTTCACGTACTTGCTGTTTGCCAAAGAGGGAGGCTGGGAGCCCACCCGTACGGTTTGCACAGCGACTTCCCGTCAGGGAGCTCGTGCGGGACTCCAGCTGACACGGCTTGTGTGCAGAGTTATGTGGGGAAGGGGGTGGATTTTCACCGTGATGGAAGGAGGCAGAGGAGGAGTGTTTGCTGACAACCCCTGCCTAGATCTGAAGTTCTTTGCCAGCACTGATTCTGCCAAGATGCATTTTAGCTGGTTTGTGAATGGGGTATCTGCTCAGGCTCCACAATTAAAATGCTGCAGAAGGTGTGACTTACCCACCTGGAAAGTGTTGTGTGTGCTCAGAGCATCCTTCACAGCTGATGTTAGTCTGGGTCAGCTGTGTACCCTTCTTCACAAACGACTATAACATACTCGCTGTGGCCTGAACGTCCAGCACTTGGCAGATGGAGCAGTGCAGTGACAGCAGAAGTGGCCTTCATTCAGCACTGGTGCCTCCCAAGTGCCTCCGGTGTTTTCCACATTGCAGAGGCTATGGCAACGTTCAAGGCCCAAAATGTCCTGCAGTTCATACCACTGTTGTCCCACAAAGGAGATCGCCAGGAACAGCGTGCTCCCGAGGCTTTGCATATATTAGCTAGTGTCCTTCCAGCAGTTCACCATTCCCTTGCCCTCAGTCAGAAAGGATGTCACTCCCTCTTTGCCACCCCTGCAGACCCCCAACACCCAGGGTGTGTGACTGGCAGACCACCGCAGAGTGCAGGGGATTGGGGTGTGAGGCATTAGTTATTCCTGATTTTTTGATTGCTTTTTTGTAAGGCCAAATGCACAGGCATTACTGGGGACAAAAAAACATTGCTTTGTGTTGCCCACAGCTAGAGACTTAGTGCTACGCAACTGGTACGGCTGTGGACTTCAGAAGTGTTATTCTAAATGTTTTTTTTAATAGAATAATCAAATAGATATGTCCTTAGCAGTAGAGCACTGAAATGTAGAATGGATATTGTGAGTGACTCTGCAGGAATAAATATAAGCAAGACAAATCTTGTAGCATATCAGAAAAGCCCCAGCAGCGCTCAGCACAAGATCCTTAATGTGCTTTGGTCAATATCTTTCTCTGTATCAATGGAAGCTCATTAAAAGAAGACATTGCAGACTAACTGAGACATGCCGTATTAGTTCTTGCCAAAGCTTGACATTTTTAATACATTAATAATATGTCTGTAATGTAATGGAAAACTATTAATCAGAACTGGTTATATGCCAGAAATTTAAGCTATAATTGGCTGCTTCTTGTCAGGAATGTCTGTCGTACACTGCCACAGCTGCCTAATGCTCAGATGTCTTGCACTCCTCTGCACTTTTTCCTTGTCAGTGCACTAAATTCGATCGATGTTATAGTCTATAATTCTGTGTAACGACCATCATTATGACTCTGGCTTACTTTAATGAGAATTCGTTATATGGGAAGTATTTTAGCACAGTGTGTTAAGGCAGTGGCTTGCTTCGCATTATTTTAGTCTTATCCAGTCCTGTTTATTAGTGGATCTGAGTCTCGGCAGTTATAAAAGGTTATGGGTAACTGAAGATCTAGCAAGGAAAATGTTGAAGAAAACAAATCCATTTTTGCCTGAATATACAGGCTTGTAGTCTAAGGATAATTAAACTCAGCAACTTCTTATTTCTACGCATAAACATGATACTCACCTACTGCTTATTCTAGCTCTGATCAAGTCTTCTCTAATACAGAGTATTTTTTGATTTGCCACAAATTTAAAATAATTTGGCTCCTTTTTTAGCGCAGTAGTTGTTTCCCTTTTGTGTAATGACTGTTCTAAGCTATGGGGTCTTGGGGGTGTTTTTTCCCCCTACAAAATAGTAAAATACAGTGGAAAGAACTAAAGAGTATGAAGTGTCTTTAGAATGACATGGGAAGTGTTCTCTGAATTACTGAATTCCAAGATAATAAGTAAACATTCCCACTGAAAACAAAACAGAATGTAAGGTTGCTACAAATACACAGTGTGCTTCTTAAAGATTTAATTTTAATTTGGTCTTAGATATTTCTGCTTTTGTGTCAAATTCAGATTTGAAGCTTAAATATATTTGAACTAATTGAGAATTGTTATTGCATGAAAGTTCAGATATTCTCTGCATATTCTGATAAAATATATGAGAGTTGTATGGTAACACTTGATAAAATGAATATAATGGAAAATTGCATTTATGTCCATACAGCAATTATTGTAAATTACTTCACTATGGAAACACAATTCAACCATCTGTTGGCATTTCTTAGTGTCTGTAGTTTAGCTCAGTTTAAGATGAAGCGTTATTTAAATATAGGGAGGCTGTTTGCGAATAGGTTTGAGGATAAGTTTTGAAAATGTGTATTACCAAAGTGACATGCTAAGGAGCTCACAGGTCACATACCATTTCCCGTGGTTTTGGGGTACAGGAGGGTTCATCACACTGAGTATAATTTAAAACTGGGAACAAACAAAGCCGGCTGCATAAAGTAGTGACTTATGGTTGTTTCTTAACATCTGTCTGACGGGTTTGCTTAGATTTTAGCATCCAGACAAAAGGAGTGCAGAGGTGCTGCGGCGGCTGGCTGAAATCTTCCTCCTGCAGAGAGCCCAGTGCCCAGGCTCCCCATCCTCAGCTGGCACAGGCTGACGCCAGGCGCAGGCTGAGAAATGAGTTGGAGTTCTGAGCCCTGTTTTTCCTTGTCTGCATTTAGGGTACTTTCTCAGTCTTTGCAGTTTCCCTCGTACATAATTTGTATTTTTACCTGTGTTTTTTAGCAAATGCATTTTCTAAGTCGTTTAAAATCCTAGAATTTTAAGCCTGTAATAATATGATAGAGGTGATACAAATCAAGGGAATTTCTAGTTGCTTTCTGAAGTGAGGAAAGGGGATATATCTGCTACGAAATAAACACTGAATACACAGGTACCTCCACGCCTGAGCCTAGGAAAATCAGACTGCCATAACAGAGGGGGAAAGCATCCTTATAGTAAGCTACAAATGAACCATTATCTTTATCAGTAGCTTATCATCAGTGTGATCAGTAAATTGCAGTTCAAAGGGGGAAAAAACAAACAAACAAGCGAGCTTTGAAATTTCAAGGAAACTGAAGTGTGCTTACAATATCTTTGTTACTCTTCCAAAAACAAACAAACAAAATATAAGAAACATAAGAACATAAGGCTGTTGGAGCTTGCTGAGGTCCTCTTGCCAAGACACTATCAGCACCTGGTAGCCCTGATACCCGTCTCTGTGTCACTTTAATAAAAGAGCCTTCCTGCTGCTGCCCTGCAATGCTGGACTGCCTGCTCCCCTGCCTGCACAATCTGGGCAATGGTTGTGTTCCGCAGTTTGCTCTCTGGTTTTGCTAGGGTAAAAATACAGTTTTGGAAGCAGAAACCTGTAACTCACCTGGAATGTTATAAATTTGTCTTTGTTATAGAAGAGTTAAATCTTTCACATCAAAATACTTTTCACTGTGAATGATTTTGGTAGTTTGCTCATTCCAGCACAGCACCCACAGTAAAGGTTATCCATATTATACCAATTTGCTTTATATTGCATCAAACCTTCAAAATGTCAACATATCCTATATTTTGTAATGCATTGATTCTTGGACAATAACTCTAACTCTTATTGTTTCTAAAAGGGTGCTGGTGCCAGAAGAAAAGAATGATTGATGGGAAACAAACACCAGTGTGTAGACACTCATCCTTTTCCTTTGGATACTGATTTATCAGCACGTCTGGGCATCACCTGCAAGCCCTGAACACGGAGGATCACTCAGGGTTATCGACAGTGTAGCTGAAGACCTGCAACTTCACAAATTATTATCTGCTATTGGACATCTTTTACAAGAAGCCCTGACAGATAAGTTATGGGACAAGGAACAAGTGCTGCATTGCTGTGAAAGGCTGTCATCGGGGTCTGGGTGGCTTCTACCAAAGTCTTCAACTTAGTGAAACAAACACCCTAACCTAATGCTTCATGTTTGAGTTGGAACCTATTTTATAAAATATATACAAGTATATGTACATATATATATATATATATATATAATCTATAGACTGCACGTACGCCAGTACTGAGCATCCTTACGAAGGTGACATAAAAGGATTTAGAAATGTATTTGTCAAGATTCCTCTCACTTCACGCCCTCTGGGTTACTGTGTCCTCCATGATGCAGCACTACCCTTCTGTGTGGGGACACTATGACGTGTGTAAGACTCAGATTTACACGGAAGAAGGAAAAGTGTGGGATTACATGGCCTGCCAGCCGGAAGCCAGAGACATGATCAAATATGTAAAAGTGACTCTGGATCCCCCAGACATAACATGTGGAGATCCTCCCGAGACTTTCTGTGCAATGGTAAGGCAAGCTTTTAATTTTGCATAATTAGTGGGTATGTATTTGTGATAGACGGCTTCAAAAAGGAAGCCCTGTAGCACACATATAATTCTCCAAGAAAATCTGCATCATAATGCAGATAATACACATTCCAAATGTGAAAGGTTCTGCTGAACAAAATGCTGAGCAGTCCATCAAACCGGGCAATGAGTGTTCCTACTTATAGGGACCTAACTTGACTTTGTCCGAATTCGGTCTTTCTCTAGGTCGACTTTAATGACTTAGAAGAAAGCAGCATAAAACTCCTAGTGTGCTAACCCGTAGCTGGAGTGTGTTTGCCTGGATCATAAAAGACTTGAGTGAATTGGTTCTAATATGATCGCCTGAGAGCATCATAGCATGGTATAATTCAGCATTTCCAAACATGAGATTGTTAGAAATTCAAACTGCAGAACCTTAGAAAGTGGTGGTGGGAGATAGGCTGGTGGAGTTTTTCCAGCAAGCCCACGCAGCCACCAGCATCACTGCTGGAACCTTGCTACTGCACACAGCAGGTACATACCTGCATGTCGGGACAGTGCAATAAGAAACACCTTTAGCTGGGTGCCAGCTCTACCAACTACTGACAGCTTTCTTCTTTAACTGAAGCTGTAGGTATTCAAGCCAACTAAGAGAAATCAAAATCAAGCTCCTTAATTTAGATGCTCCTAAAATTAGACTAGTTTTGGAAATATTTGGCTCGGTAAGCAATTGTACAGGTACGAGAAGGAGGTAGGCACTATGTAGATCAACCTTTTACAGCTCTGCTGCTCCTAAGTGTTTGATAGGTTGTGCTGTAAGAGGTCATTTCAGTTAAAGGAAATCTTCAACTTGTAGGAAACTTGTTTCTTCTCACAAACATAGAAAATTAATTTTCTTTACTACTGAATATTTCTGTTAAATATTGAGCGGAAAATACAGCATTCCCTTGACTAGAAAATGTGAGTTTGAGATGCAAAAGGTAAGTACTTATGTCTATTAATAAAGCACCGTGAATGTACATCACACTACCTACATAATTTAGATTTGAAAAACCAATGAGTTCTGGTAAGTGAGGTTATCATAACTGAGAAAAGCCTACAAGATATTTATTTGCCTGTGTACGAATCATCATTGCTGCTTGACAGCATCCCCACAGGAAGGAAATTTGCTTCTAAATGCCTTATGGTATCATTTTCAACCACTACTGTTCTGTAAGGAGTTCAGGTCCAACCACACATACATTTAGGGCATTATGTGCACGCATGCAGCTGCTTCCCACGTACATTATGGTAATAACCACGTGATAAATTGCGGAGCTACATGAATAAATTACATTCACTGTGAACCTTTGACTGCACCACTTGCTCTCTGCCCACTAATCCATCTCTGCTGACATGGCTTTGACACTCTAAACCTCCAAGCAGCTTCAAGCAGCCACTGTTTAAAAACAAATAAATGCAACGTGTTCTATCTAATACAGTCTTTATCCTGAAATGTGTTTTCTCCCTCAGAATAGTAATAGCTGTGATTTAGCCTTCAATCAGTGACACTTAGTAACTCATCATGCAGTGAATAAGAAAAGTTGTTCTTTTAATGCAAAGAAAATGGCCCAGCAAAATTTGTTTCTTCCTTTTACTGCAGATAAACACTGCAGCAGTTCCTGTCTTAAGTAATTTAAGTTTCTGAATGCCCTGGTTAACAGTCCACTTCTAGTTAGAATAATTATTTTAAACAAAAACCAAAGACATTTTGTTTAAATCTAAGTATTAAAAATGATGCCAGAACTCCCCCTGAAAGCGTTTGACCTAGCAAGGTCCCTGATGCTATGGTGGGGGATGAAAGTTTGCTTGGGAACAACCTGAGGTTACAGCTGTACCTCACTTGCTGCTTAAGCTCTTGAGATGCAGGTGGCCACCAGAATCCTGACACGAGAAGTAGAGAAAGAGTAAGAACTGGGGAGAAGGAGAGAGAGAGCATGCACAATGAAGGCATGTATTTAGTCATGTGAGCGCAGACTGACTCCCTGATAAAGTGTTGCATTTCCTTTCTATATAGATGTATATTGTACACATGCACTATAATCAGATATGCATTGATAATGGCTTGACTTACTCAAAACATTAGGAAAAACAACAGAAATATTTGACGTTCCTGAGGTACTGCTCAGCAGCAGGGCACTCATCCCTAAAAATGCTTTATGTCTATCTGTCCTATAGCTACATGTAGAAATTACACATTTCCTTCAAAATTAGGTTTTACGTATTTGTAGGGCTGAGCCTTTGGCATTTCCCAGTGAGGAGGTTGTTGGGGTTTTTTTTGTGTTCATTTTTAGTTTTAGAAAATGAGTTAAGAAGACAGCACTGACATACTAGGAGAAGGTGGGCAGTGGAAAAGAGTGCATTCATGTTAGGCATATTCTTGCACTAAAAAAATTCTGAATTTGAAATGACAGAGATCTGAAGGTTTCTTTTTGGCACGATGAAGTGCCAAACTGACTCATACAATGCTTGGTTTTATTGTTGTGAGTATTGGATATTTGCATGCTAAACCTGTACCCATACCAATGTTTTGTTATTCAACTCTGGTTAACGCTAACTTGGAGGAGATCAGGGTCCTTTCAGATACCCTAACAATAAGCAAAGGTACCAACAGCTGAGCCTGCTTCTGCAGGAAGAGGAGGAGGTTAAAGAAGCCTCGTTTTGTTTCCATATCAGTTCTCCGATCAGGTTTAGTAATTTTCTGTTCACCACAGACTATACAGAGTAAGGTGCTAGCTGTTGAGTCTGTGTCAGCTATCAGTGTAGTATGGATAATATCCCTGAAACAACCAGACTGAGAGGTTCACCCAAGTCCTGCTGGGAGATTATGGTAAAATCTAAGGCAGTCTGCGAGAGGGAGATGATAATAGTCTGCAAGGACGCACAGTGCAATTGTTTAATGCAGTGCGCACAAGCATACAATACAGAGGAGATAGACAGTTAAAGGCAAATTTTGCCTCCTACTTATTTATGCATATTCCCCATGAAATTAATGTTCTTATGAGTCCATTATAAATTTTTATTCTGTGAGCTCGTTTAGTCAACAGACCAAATAACGAGGTTTGTACATGCCAATTTGTTGCAAAATGCAACACTTGTCTGGTTGGTAGCTAAACCCAGCATGTGGCAGCTCACCACTTGTAAGTACATTTGGGTCATCCCTCCAGGACAGCATCCACAGATATTACGGGGAACACGCAGCAGGAAAACTATCCCACAATTGCTTTTATGCAATCTATTCTGAGAATAACATTGTCGTTTCTAGTGACATTCAGTATTGACAACTCGTGAGATTATTCTGAAACCTCAAACCCCTCGAGTCCTATGATTATGTGAGATTCTCAGCTTTCATTTAAAACATCATCTTTATTTTCTTCGTCCTCATAGCTGCAGAGAAAACTTTGAAAATGAAACTGAGAAGCTCAAAAAGCAGAAGCCAAATAAAAAGCCCTCCAAATTATTATTTGTTTAAAATCTCATCAATTTTAAAGTCACTCAGGATTTTTAGGGATTGGGAAGGGATTTTGCTTGAGATGAGAGATGCGTGAAAGAAATATATAAACAAATGAATGGCTTAGAGCAGTGAACGCTCATGGTTTCTGGCCGTGGAGTTCCTTGTGTCTATAAGGAGGATGTGACAGCATCCTTCCCCAACAGGTAGTATTTTTTCTGCCTGTGAGATAACCAGCCCCCCACGGAGGGGCTGACTGGTCACCTCCGGCTCCCCTGTATGTTTTAAAGCAATCTCTAGCTGCTTAGGGCAAGGCACACATGCTGGCAGATGATACACGTTTGCTTTCTGCGG